CATGCTATAAACTCGGACGGGTTAATCCGGACGTGCACATTGCACGTACGTGCACTGCATGGTGGGGCTATGACCTCCCACGAACGATCTAGAATTCCACATCAGACATGAAGAGGATGCTGTCGGCGGGTCTCTGAGAATTAGAAGCGCTAGAATACATTCCGTATCGACTACAAACAATTCTGTTGGTGCGAGTTAGCTGGATGAAATACACATTACACTGTTTATCTCAATGATTTCAAACCATATCTACGACTTGCATATCTTCGCCTGATCCAATGCATATTGACTGTCCAGCCGTGCTGTACTTCAATCGTTTGTATGTAAGGATGCATCGCTATGCTGCTCTACCTTCTATTGATTCGCTGTATTTCTTGTCGGCGCTTTCCATTGTTTCCGGTTGCCGAATGACTGGCAGCCCCTCGTTTGAGGTTCGTAATAATGATTGGCACCCATTATTAAACCATTCTTGAAGTTTAAGTTTCGTAATAATGATTGGCACCCATTGTCGAAGTTCGTAACGTTTCTCAGCAGTATCCATTTTACGAGGTTGCTGGGACCTGCGGGCACCCCGTCGCTCTCTCAGTGTCGTCTCTCACTCTACCATTCACCTACTCCAGCACAAGCCAAGCGTGTGGGGGCGACGGTAAGGGCAGGGATGCGTCCTGTGGATCCTATCTGGATCGTGTCGTGGAATCCTCGTCTTTCATCGACACGAAACTACCAGCGAGCCCTACGACGCGTGTGTCGAGCGTTGCCCACTGCCGGCATGAACCCTTCGGCGTTGATTCAGATGGTCAACGTGCTGTCTCTCACGCCTGGCTCATCTGGCCTGGGTCACTGGTACAGGCCTCGAAGGATATTGATAGTTTGTTAGAGGAAGGCTGGACGGCGTACAACGACAGCAAGGCCAAGCCTGACACCCTCACTCGAGCTGTCGTGACGTGTATGTTCCAGCCAGTATTCCTGCTGCGAGCTGAGCTGACTTCGACGATGAAGCTCTGGCTGGCAGGGTTTATCCGCTTTGGCTCGAGACACAGACCCAATGTGGTCTTCCACTTGGCGTGTCGCTTATGTCAAACGTGGCGTGCACACCCAGTGTCGGCTCTGTCCTTTGTAGACGAGCTGGTGGAGCTGCTGCTGTATAAGGAACCTTTGATCGACGAGAAGGAGCAGCTGGCAACGGATGCGGGTGCTCCATTCCAAGGATTCCAAGGCTATTCTCCTCTCGATGGCAACCAGACAGCAGCGATCACGACCCACGCCAAGGACAGATTTGTGCGGCTTGTCATGTTGAGCTTCGTGGACGACGTCGCTGTCGACAAGAGCTCGTCCAGTAACGATACGCAGCAGCTCTTTGATGCTCTGACAGCTCGACTTCTGAAGCTCAATGTGACGCCTGAGTGGCAGAAGCAACACATGCTCAACAGCGATGGGTTCGGCAAGAAACTGCGCTCCTGGCAGGCTCTCTGCATCGTCAGTGCACACGTGACCAAGTCGCAGCTGACAGAGTTGCTTCCTACTCTAGCTACTGCATTTGCTGTGCCTCAACTGCCCAGTGTTCGCTACTACATGGAGCTGTTCGGTATGCGGATGGCTGCCAAGTTCCCAACGGAGATTTGCTCTGGCGTGTTGCTGCCCATGCTTGGCGATGCGAATCTGATGCCACAAGTGGGCGCTTCACTGTTACTTGTGTCGGCGTATTTGGTGGACACCAAGCTGGACGACAACAGTCTTGACGTCGACTGTGGAGAACTGCTGGAGACCATGTTGCCGTGGTTGAATACGTCTCATGGCTACACTCGCGTACTGGCTCAGTATCTTCTGGCCAAGGTGCTTCCTCGCCACATCCACTACTTGAAACAAAGCTCTAAAGACACTCCAGGTCTCCGCTTTCTGGAGGGCACGGCGCGTTATCTGAGCAACAACAAGGAGTGCAAGCGAATGCTACGACGTCAAGCTCGACAACTGGACGAGTTCCACCCGGACTACGAGAGTTCGTTGCTGGGGATGCTCTCTTCTGGCTTCATTAGCGAGTTCGGAGAGCTCTTACCTCGTGACGACGCTCTGCGCTGCAGTGAACAGCTCAAGACTGCCATGAACGAGCTCTACGCGCAGTACCAGCTCGAGAACTTTCCTCCAACTCCTTCAGAGCAGAAGAGCAGCATGGAGGCGGATAGCGTAAGTGGATTCCTCACTGTGCAGCGTAAAATTGACACGACGGCGCTGCTGCTGGAGGACAGTGCGCTCCCTGCAGCGATGCGTGCCGACTTTGACGCAGCACGACGTGGAGCGACGCTGAACGCCCGTCAACGACCTCGACAGCCTCTTATCATGTGTGCAAGCTTGGTGGACAAGGTCCCGAATCTGGCTGGACTGGCACGGACTTGCGAGATCTTCAACGCTCAGAAACTGGTCGTGCCGAACCTGCGGATGACGCAGCAGGACGTCACGTTCGTGAATGTCAGCGCCACGGCTCACAAGTGGATGCCACTGGAAGAAGTGCGACCTCAAGGTGACGATTTACGACGAGCACTTGTGCGATGGAAGCGCGAGGGCTACACGATTGTGGCAGTGGAGCAAACGGCGTCCAGTGTGAGTCTCGCGAGCTACACGCTGCCCCGTAAGATGGTGCTGGTGTTGGGGCGAGAGAAGGAAGGGATCCCGGTCGAAGTGCTGCAGCTTGTCGACGTGTGTGTGGAAATCCCCCAGTTTGGACTGGTACGCTCACTGAATGTGCACGTGAGCGGGGCTCTGGTGCTGTGGGAGTACACGCAGCAGCAATTGATGTCTGGAGCGCTCGAGTCGACTCTCTAGATACAGGTCGATGCTTCTCTTTAGACGGAGACGCATGGTACTATCAAGGACTAGTACGCTGTGCTCCGTGTCGTCCTCGCTTCGTTCTCTGGAGTGCTTGATGCTGTCGAAGCCGGCTGGATTCCTTCTTCTTGGCGATGTCCGAGTGCACTACGTGAGATCTAGGCTACGTTGTTCATCTTCTGGCCCAAGTCGACGAGCTGACCCAAGTGGACTCTGCAGAGTGAGGTCGCGGTGGAGGAAATGGGTGCATGTCTCGTGGCGTGCAAGATGGACGTTCCGGCTCGAGACTTCTGTGTGCTTGGTAGTTAGTCGTCTTGGCGCATGGAGTGGGACAGTTTTGGTTACTTGTAAAGCGAAGTTCATCTTGGCGAAGAAGACTTTGGCGAAGAAGACTTGAAGGTCGAAGAGGGCTTGAGAGGGTTGCTGCAAATTGCAGAGTGAGGTCAAAGCTGCAAGGAGCACTCTCAGACGGCACCAGGGCTGAACTGCGACGACAAGTGGGTGGACTGTAGAGCTGGTGATAGACACAAAGGTAGAGAAAATAATCCAATAGCTCTTTACAACAGCAGCCACTTGAGATCTCCTTCAACATGTGACTTCGTAAAGGCTCGCCGATTGTTTCAATTGATGCGTAAATGTGTGTGCTCCGACAGGTGGCTGAGCGTTTACAGTCCCCACAAGCTTCGTGGAATGGGGCAGGTCGTCTCTTAGCGTCTGAATAGAGCAATCACAATGCAAATCTTCAAATATTTACGCCTCGCTATTGCTGAAAGTGTCACGATTGCAGCATACTTCCAGAGAACCATAAATCTCAGCAGATTATCAAGTGATAGCAGCTCAGTATCAACAGCAAATGTGCCACCAAATGGAACAAACCGAGCCAATTGAGAGAGCGACGATTGTCGAAGTTGCACAGTGGCCACTGTTACGCTTAGCATTATTTTCAAGAAACATTCCACCCAACGTTTCCAACTCAATCCTACAATGTAAGGACAGTAAGCATACTGACTGCGTGGTACAGTGGCAAGGAATCAACGCAATTTTCGTGACTGGCATTCCACCACCACGCAATTCTAGCATCAACAAATACTCGAAAGATCAATTAGAACACCATAAACTTCAGGGATAAAAAAATAAGCGAACGGATCTACGCTTACCGATCCAATGTCTAGTCACCTACCCAAAAATACGCTTTAGTATCAATTTGACCACGGGCCCCACATTGTTTGCACTAACTTAGCGTAGTGAAGGCAAATCACCTGATCGAAGTCCGCAGCGGACACTTTATCAAGCGCCGAAGTCTCATAACAAACGCAATTTTAGTGTAAAATCAGCGCAACTCGTAGTAAAACCCGGAACCAAGCGCAATCTGACAAAAATTCGGGCAGTGCTACGCATTTATCTGGCCGTCACACCCTGAATTTGGCGAAACCCAAACCACTCCACGAACAACGAAGCAGCGATTGAACCTCAAAGTTGCGTCAGCATCGCCGCCTGGGCGATGGAAACGACGACATATTGGCACCTCACCGGCCGAAGCCACAAACCTTCAGCAGAGACACGCAATCGAGAAATGCAGCACGTGATCTGCCAAACCTGGCCCCGTGATTCTTATGAAAACCCACCGGCACCGCTCCGTAAA